TTATTTTAAAGAAATTAATTATACAAAGAATTGCTAATAATGCGCTTCAGCGCGCCATATCGGATTCAACTATTTAACTATAACTATGGCATTTGTTCGAATTTTTCTTGACGTAAAACCCATCCTTGGACTTTAACGAACATTAAAAAAAAGAATTGGCCAAATTGGTCTAGGCGTTGTCGAGTTATGCGCTTTCCAACAGATTTTTGTATATTATTCATTTTTATATTATATTTAAATTTTATATAATTAATTAACCTTGTAACAATGCTACTTTTATTCTAGTTTTGTACTAAAACAAATTAATGCAACCTCAAGAATTGTATAAATACTTAAAACAAATTCAACAGTAAGTAAGAAAATTTATGAATGGAAATACGACGCAGAACAATGAATTATGCAATGTAAAGTTTCAAATGCAAATATTTCCACTTGGAAAAATTCCTACCACACCCACACACTCACAGTTATACCTACTTCACACGTAAAAATAACATATTTCTCTTACTTTGTTGACATTTGTTAATCTAAGTAATTACTAAGTTCACTATTGCAGTTTTGACGTACATCGGCTATTTTTATATGCGATATACCTTCATACAAGATTAATACACTTGATTAAATTATAATTAACGACGTGAATTTTTAATCTGATACGTGTGTGACAATGAAATTGCGTCATATCAAAGCAGCTTTATATTATACTCGTACACTTTGATACAAAGCTCGTTAGTAGGTATAATATCGTTCTTCGAAACTAAAAATAAGAATATTCTTTCCTAAAACGTGCAGTTGAATGAATTTTAAGTGTTATCATTCATTCAAATTGAATACGAATATATAAGAATCCATATTCAATGACATTTAGATGCTATTACAGCTATAAACCGATTCTATTCTATTACGCCAAGTTTTATACTCGTTTCGTGCATATTTCACACTGCGTTTCATTCAGGATTCTATCCTGCGGAGAGAATCTAGGTTGAAACACGTAGCATGTGAGATGTTATCGCTGAACGATAGGATCGTGTTCTATCGCCTTTGTTTAATATTTGCTTACGTTATGACAATGGCAAACTCAATAGCATCATTATACAGACAGATTTTGTAAATCATGCAATAATTGGGTTGCGCCTGAGAGTAGGCATTCCATTTTGCATTAGTTCTATTGTAAATTTTGGCAGATTGTATTATATGTGCTATTTATAACATAAAAATGAATCGCAAAATCTGTTTGTAAGTGCATAACTCAACAACGCCTAGACCAATTTGGCCAATTTTTTTTTAAAATGTTTGTTAAAGTTCAAGGATGGTTTCTACGGTGAGAAAAATTTGAATATTTGCCGGGTGACCCCTAAAGGCAGCTTTTTTCTATAGGATAAAAGTTGGCATTGAGATTCAATCATAGTTATAGTTAAATAGTTGAATCCAGATGGCGCGCTAAAGTGCACTATTAACAATTCTTTATATAATTAATTTCTTTAAAATAAAATTGCGAATCTTATTGATAGAATTGATACATACTATATCTAGAACAAGAAAGTAAAAACGAATTACATTTTTATTTAACAATACCAGGACGAAGTCACGGGCAAAAGCTAGTTTTGAATAAAATTCTATTTTAAATTGTGAACTTCCATGAAAAAGGAAATTTACGCCTGTAATATTTTAAAATGTTTTATTTTTAGCGCATATTTTCCAGTTCACACACAATATAAACCGATTTCATACTGGCATATTATTTTTATTATTGCACATGTGTTACTTTTGGAAAACATGTTTGTTACGTTTTCGTTTCTGCTTCTGATGTTTACTCTTCATCAAAGTAACGTGTTTGTATTGCTTTCGGTAACAACGCAAAACGTTTTAAGAATTTTTCCAAGTAGAATAAAAAAAATCGAATCGTACGTTTACACTGGTAAATATTATTACGGTTTTTATAGTTTGTGGTTTAACGCAGCATAGCAACAGAGATTAGACATGTGCGGTGATATTTGGTGGTGTACTCGTACTCATTTACAGTTTACATTTTACGATGCGTAGAGTGGTTTACATGCGGTTGCACACTTTATCCACTTTATGTGCGCTGCAAGTGTGTTTGCCTCATAAAATTGTTAATATTTTGAGCTGGTGTTGAACGCCAATCGCACTCGTTGATATGTTTGTAGCCAGATTAAATTACGATTTATTTCTGTATATTTATTCATTTGTGATGGTTTATTTGCTAATAATTGGTGTGGAAATGTCTAACCTTGCAATTTTGAAATTACAGGATTCGCATTGTATATAATATGAGATTAAAATTAGAATGATAAAATAAACGTGTGCGTTATACCGGATTTATCAAATTTCCAACATTTTGTAGCACGATAAACTTTTTGTGTGTCCGTAAAAAAAAAGGATGATTGGGGTCATTTGGGCTTTACTACTACTCAAACGTGAAAAAGCAGTTAAAAGTCAACGCGTGACAGCGATGCGACCACTCAATTCTGGTTTTCTTTGCAAAATGGAAAATTCATGTTCAGATTCAATTCAATAGTCAATATTTCAGTCGAAATGCAATTTGGGTTGCATACATCACGCTTTTACTTGTTTACTTGTCATTGTATTGTTTTATTTAGTGTTTTAAATCGTAAAACAATGAAAAACAATGTGAACAATCAATAGTACGGTTTTATATAAATCGTATGTTTTTTCTCTTAAATTCTGTTAGTACACAAAGTGTATCAGACCAAAGTTTGGAAGCAGCTAGATGTGAACTACCGAAATCATGTAATCTAGTTGCGTGGCCCCCCAAAGTACCCTAACGAACTCATGCGCCCTGTGCTTTTAGCTTGAACGAGCACATCCTATATGCATTCCTTGCTCAATTTCACTGTTCTATTTGGCAGAAGTCTGGTGCTTGTAATGCCACCCAGGACAGCTGTAATCAGAGTAATCGAATAAAAGTGCAGAAAAAGGCTCAAACCAAACATAGAGAGTCCAAAAAGAGTCACAAGCAAATTTAAACCTAAAATGACTTAAAAAAAAAACCAACCAATTTGTAGGTGTTTAGTAAATTTAATCTTGAATCGCATCTCAGACATTTCATGAAAGCCTCCATCACAACAGACTCCTGTAAATAGACTTGCTTCGTTTACTGCTTCAATTGCTTCCTGTTTCCTTTCAACGCCATGTCCAACACTCAACAATTCTCTGCGTAATTCGTACTCACCCGAAAGTGTTTGGTGCTCATCGTGTGCACCTACGATTTGACTTCCTTCATTTCCTTCCAACTACGCAATTCATTTCCACGTCACATTCACGACGTTCAATTGTATCCGAATAGTTTCTCCGAAGAAGTTTCTTTGAAGAAACTATTCGACAACTTCCAACCACTGTCAGTATTATGCGTCTTACAAAGACAAGGATAAATGTATAAACACGATTTGCTTCTGCATTATAGGATAACGAAAATTGCTTTGAGAGCAAGAGTGAGGAAACAGACTAGACAGAAAGGGTTTTACGTTGGTGTAAGGTAGACGTTATTACTAAAGGCCTGAAGGTTTAAGAGGTAGTTGTAGTTTTGTTGGGTTGTCGACCCAAGGATTTTGGATTCACGACGTGCAAATCCTCGGATACTCGATGGCATTTGACTATTAATTATTACGATTTGAGAGGCTGATAGTTGTGGTTTGAACCTCAAATCAAAGCTCCACACACACATCTCCATTCTAGAACCCTGTTTGAGTGTTTATATGTATTTATAGAAGAAGAAATCTCCATAAAAATGCTAATAACAAAAACTTTCACTTTTAAAAATCAGATGGCGTATACTCATCTGGTCTAAAACTTGTTAAAGGTTACTCCTGAAATTTTATAGCAATTTACACTCACTACACAGTTCATTGCTTTGCTTTTTATGTCTGGTAAATATTCTCTATTGTTACATGCGTCGTATATATTTTATTAGTATGTACCTTAACGACAGTGCATTGCCCGATCGTTACGTCGCGTCGGGTTGTTCTAGCCCTTCGACTTTCTGCCCAACCGCTGAACGCCACTAAACCGATTGCTAATGTCAACGTGATAAACGCTGTTTATCGCTAGGTTTACGAATTGCCTTGGGATTGCAACAGTGCAACAATGTCACAAGCTACCGAGTCATGAGTAATACATCAATTTCACGTGTACATTGAGTTGCCTACTGCAAAATGCACGACGCATTCAGTCGAAACACTTCGTAGAAAGTTTAAATTAAATATTTATAAGCCGAACTGGAAAACTAGTCAGTTGAGTGCATTTTCACCGCGCAAGCGTGTTAAGTTACAGACGAATAGGACACTGACACGAAAAGCGAACATGATAGTGAAGCTAAAACGCATGTTTTATTCTTTTACGTGATTATATCACTTACGTTCATGAATAATATTGCGTGCAGGTTAAAAATTAAAAATTTACGATTTCTACGACAAATTTAAATTAAAAAGTTATTAAAATAATTTACTCTATGAAAAACTCATTAGTGCGGCGTACAAAAGTCATGACCAATTAAAACTGACTAAACTAAACCGAGTGCTTGTGCAACATGTTGAATTGAGTTGAATCGTCGCCGGAAGCGACAAACACAAATGGCGCCGAGGGAAAATTATAAATTGCGGGGTGGTGGAAATTTTGCAATTGAACGTGAATTTCACATTTCACATCGGCGCTGGCCGCAACTTTGCACTCGAGCGTTTGGACCGTCGTTACCACTTTGCCTCCCCAGCACTCGACCACCGCCACACTCCGGGGGTGCTCTTGGCTGATCGTGGAGCACCGCCATCGCCATCCCCACAACCCACGCGCTTAGCATAGTTTAATTGCTGTTACATTTCGCGTTTTGCATTCCTGCCAACGATTACCAAATACCGCACACATTTAATTCTCGTTAAATATTTATGTAATGCACATGAAAATTCAATTTTTGTACGTTGCATTGGCATAGAATATAGTTTTCAATGTGAATATTTTTTTATTACCTTTTAGTTGTTGGAAAAATTCTGGACTAAGTGATTAATCACGCTTTATTGATTGTTTCCTGTGTGGAAAACAATTTCATCACGGATTAAATCCATCATCGACGGCTTTTGAGCCTTTTTTCTTTGCTTTCTTCCAACACCTCGGAGGATTTATAAATTTTCACCCCGACGATCACTTTGTGCACCAAATTTCTTTGTCTTTGATCACTCGATAGTTTTTGTTTACACTTTAATGACTCCGATAAATTTTTTGTAAAAGTCTTATTTTGGTAAATAGATTATTTATCAAATAAATATCATCGAATATTTGTATATTGGTACAATGTTTTGATTTAAAATTTATTGATTTCGGTTTTCGTTTGCGTTTTAATTTGCGTTACGTGTGAAAAGCGCGTTCGCGTCGTCGTCGGCGTGTAGTGCTGCCCGAATGCAGCGGCTCGAGGAGGTCGACTGAATCGGCGGCGGTCGAGCGCGTCCCTTTTACGCTACGCGAAACATTGCGCCGCGTATCCTTACGAACGTGCCGCCGTCGCCGCCGCCGCTGGTGCTGGGGGAGTACAACCAACTCTAGCGCGCCGGCCTGCTGTGGTGTTATCAGCCGGTGTGTGCCCGTACGGCCGTATCGGTGGCCCGCACGTTTTCACGTTTTGCATTCGTTGGAGAACGTGCGCGTTAAACGTGCAGTCTTGGCTGTCGCCGGCAGCTTCAAGCATTCATTCAATCTTTTAGTTCTTTGAATACAATACGTAATGTTGTTGAGTATCGTGCCTACACTATATGAATTTTTATGCGAAAATAAACAAAAATATGTTTTACCGCGTGTAAAACTGGTTGCATACTTGTGGGGTGTAATGTTTTGATATTTAATGAAATTTACACAAAGTTTTTAGTTCTAAAAATGTCAAAACTTTTTAAAACCTAAAAAACAAAATAGTTTACTTCCCACAATGCAATCTGGAAATAACCTATTTTAACGTTTAGTGGGGGGGATGTCAAAAGCATATTTTCTAATTTTCATACCGTGAATATATCGTCGAATATGGCAGTATTTAAAGCGTATTCAACTCAAAAAGCACCACTACCCCAGCGTTAAACATCCTAATCCTGCGAGACTCGTAATATAGCCTGATACCATGCGTGCGCGTGTGTTGGCACATGGTAAATGGATGCGATGTGGGTTTCATGCGTTCGCTTTTTGCATTTTGCGCGTTTTCGCTGCTTCCGCTCGCGTACCGGCAGGAGTGGCGGCAGGCAAAACGGTTACGTCGTGACCTCATAAATTACGTCACCGATGCGTTGTCCTCGCTGCCGCAGGCGAGCGGATGCAAAGCCGCCAACGGGATGCGCGAAGTGCCGCGGCGATGGTGCGCGCCAGCGCTGGCACTCCGGGCGTGGAGCGACGCACGTACGGTATGTTCATTGTGTTGGGCTGCTTGCGGGTGGATATTCAGCACTGCAGGGTGCGAGAGTCTCTGCTTACGCCGCTACATATTAAACAACCGCAACACAACAGAATCGCTTTTTTGTTGGGGTGTTAATGTAGAAATCCTGCTCTGTTAATAAATTTATTTGGTTTTTCTTTTATTATGATGTAGTTAAAGCAGCTAACAGAGGGGTTGAATACTAAAATTATTTATTTTAATAATTCAGTCTTGGTTTAGAGAATATTTTATGAGTAATTATTTTTTATTTTGTTTTTTAAAATTATTCACATTATTATAGTTAAGATATTACCAATAAAAATATTTTTAATGCAAATATGCGTATTTTAAATAAATAATCACCTAGCGAGACTTTATTTCTTATTCATCATTTCTTAAATCAAATCACACCACCGGCAAATAGCGAAAACATGTATGGCAAGCTGTGCATCATGCGCTGCTGAGCGTATTCCTACGAAGGAAACAGCACGATGCGAAATGAAACAGCATGAACAGCGCGAACTGTCGAAGCATGCCGCCGACGAAGGATAACAGGAATAACAGGAAGCACTGAGTAGTAAGTTGGAAGTAGCGAGAGGCAACTGGGAAGTAGGCCGTTATCGACTCAGCCAAAACACGACTAGAAGCCTGATACCCAAATACACCAAAAAATATAAGAGGAATCCTTTCGTTTTGTTAGAAAACTTGTATAAACTGGGTTAAGAGATAGAATAGTAAAATAGTATAATAAAAATATCATCATGTTTTAATCACATGATAAATCTCATAGGATGAGATAATATGTGACTTAATAAAGTATTGGTTCAAGTGTTTATTGTTAGTTTTAGATTGTTGTTAACAATTTGCGATACGTGAATATTTGAGTTGGTTTGTATAAGTTAGGAAATATTCTGTTGATACTTGTAGCGCCATCATGTGGCGAAACGTAGGATATTGATTTTCTAGTAGCAGGACGCCCTTGGGGGTACACGTGCTTTAACAATTTAACTTAAATCGCGTATCTGCAGTATCTGCAGTATGCTTCAGAGTATAGAGATGGCGCAGCATGTATTGAACGACCAAAAATATCTGCGATAAATAAAAGAAACAAACAAAACACGTTTGAAACTAGTTTCATCATAAATTGAGTATTTATACGTGGTTTATACTAAAAACGCAATTGATGCTATTGTATTTTACACTTATGACATGAAAAACAAATCAACATACAAATTGACACAATACAATAGTGTTAAAAATATAAACAAATAATATTTGTGGTATTCAGGTTTATTGGAATACGCAAACAAAGTAACAACAGCATTAATCACAATATAATGTAGTACGTAATGTTACCTTTGTAAAATACGGATTTTCAAACCAATGAAGTACCGGAAATAGGATATAGAAAGTAGAAATCCGTCTCTAGAGATGTGAACGCTTTTAATAAAATAGGTTACTTGAACTAGCGAATGTCGGAATGCTTTTAAGCAAATAGTTTCATTATGTAATGTTTCCACAGGGATACGGAATCTAAACAGAGATATATCTTTGATATTCGATATTCCAACAAATCTATTTTTACAAAATATGTAAAATAAATTAAATAAATGTATAAATAAATATTTTCTTACAAATTGCGTCAAATACGCAGAAATTTCGAACTCAATAGCCATATTATTACATTCGTCATTAACTACTAAAATTAGCATCGATTTTCAAGGTGTATCAATATGAAATAAATTATTTTACATCATTATATCTCTTTGACGTTTCTAGGATTTTCAATGCTCAGTATTTTAGGATAATAATAGTTTTCCAATTTGTGTGTCGCACATTAGAACGCTCTGCTGCACGCTTTGTAGACAATATAACAATTATCCATCGCGGAAGAGATTTTGGATACTGAGCTCCTTCGTCAGATATGTAATTGCAAATTGTGCTCCACCTAATTGCATATCAGGTTACTTGAACCGAATATGAGCCAATTCAAATCAATGTAATCCCAAAAATTATTCTTTTTTTCATTTATAACAAAGTTTTTTAATTTTTTAAACTTTTGACACATTTCAACTCACAATGAAACCTAAAACTTTCCTGAATGAAATAGTAAATGAGGAAACATATTCTGATACGTCCAGAATGATTAAGAGACTAATTACAAAGCATGCCACCGGAACGTGAGACGTCGGAGGCGTCGAGGGAGTTGGTTGCAATTAGCTTCGAAAATGCCAACTGCCACGAATCACTCGCGTATTGTGCGCAGTGTGGACCGAAGCAAAATGCGCAACGGCAATTATAAAATAGTTGGTATTGTATTTTACAATACAAACGAACAAAGCGATGGAATAAAATTACATTCAGCGCGAAAATTGTCAATAAAAACGTTAATCACTTTAACTTTCAATTCTCTATTGTCAACTATTAATAAACTTTCCCAATTTATATGAAAATTCACCAATAATGATTACTTTACAAACTGATAACTTCAGTTAACTAAGGTTAGAAGTTAGTAAATTAATTAAAATTAATTGATACATCATCATCATTAACGAAAATCGGCCTTGGATATTATATTTCCTCATTATGGAAGCTTAGAAAAGAAAAACAAAAAATATTTTTTTTAATTTTCCAGTTTCAGTTTGAATACCTTTCAACAGCAATAAATCAATAGCAAGTTGCTGAAAACTGGCGCCGGAAAAGTTTCCGATAAAATCCTTGAAAATATAGAATTAACCCCAACAATTAAGTTGAGTAATAGATTAGAGTGATGTTTTAATTAAGTTATTACAGGTGACTGCAGTGAGACATTCGTGTCAAAACACTTGAGACGTTTACAAGTCCTCGAAACAACACAAACACGAAACTAATCAGAAAATTGGAAATGTGTTTCAAGTAGAAGCTGGAAAATGGCTTATTTAAGAATTTAGGGTCATACTACGCCTAGGGACCAAAATCCCCAAATTGGAACGGGTAAGAAGATTGTGAGTAATTAATTTCAGAAGGTAAACCGCAAGTTGGGGACGAATCGTGGTCCTCATAAACGCAGACGGATTAATCTAGGTAGTAATAAATAAACCACTACGGTTAAAGTAAGAGGAGAAGAAGGGAAGGTCAAAGTCCGATTGTTAAGAAGCAAATCGCCTTATTTTATAGAACAAATTAAATTTGCAGGTGTTTTGGCAATTAAATAACACTTTGTATGCAATATTAATTACGATTTTAACTAGTTTAAGACATTAATTACTTGCCAACGTTAATAATTAATAATACACTAGCTTTTGCCCGCGATTTTGTCTCCGTAGTGTTTAATAAAAATGTATTTCGTTCTTACTCTCCTGTTCTAGACATAGTATGTATCAATTCTATCAATAAGATGAGCAATTTTATTTTAAAGAATTTAATTATATAAAAAATTGCTAATAATGCACTTCAGCGCGCCATCTCGGATTCAACTATTTAACTATAACTATGATAGAATCTCAATGACAACTTTTATCCTATAGAAAAGGGCTGTCTTTAGGCTTTTCCCGGCAATTATTCGGCTTTTTCTCGCTATAAAAACCATCCTTGGACTTTAACGAACATTTTAAAAAAAGAATTGGCCAAATTGGTCTAGTCGTTGTTGAGTTATGCGCTTACTAACAGATGTTGGGATTCATTTTTATATTATAGATGCGGATTAGTGTGAAACTCAAACAAAAAATTAATTATCAATGCATTAAAAATGTGAGGCGTAATTAACTTTGACGTCGCTTTAAAAGTTAAACTTTAAATTTAAATTGAACATAGGTTGATTATACGAAGCGTTCGAAAGCGCTAAGAGCTTAGAACGATTCCGGGCGGAAAGTCTTGTGGAGTTGTACACGCGCTTTGCAAATCTACGTCGAGTTTAATCCTCAACACAAATTTCGAGTGAATGCGAAAGAAAGTTTGCTATTTTCAATTTTATGTGCGTGTAAAGATATACAACTAAATATGCAAGCAATTTCATTAAGTTTTATTATTTATGTTTG